GTGAGGGGGTGGGTGAGGCTATGAAATCCCAAAGCCCACCCCCTGTGATGTTCTTCCTCCAGCAAGGCTCCACCTCCTAAAGGTTCCATAACCTCCCAAACAACACCACCAACTGGGGACCAAGTGTTCAAATACATGAGCCCTTAGGGACATTATATATTCAAATCACAACAGAAACTTGTTACGTAATTTAACATATGAAATAAGGCCCAAGAATGTAGCTTGTCGGTGTAGTTCAGTGGTAGAGCCCCTGCCTAGCATGGATAAGGCCCTGGGTTTAGCCCCCAGCACTGAGTTAAAAAAAAAAAAAAAGATGAAAGAAAAAAACCTGAAAACAAATCAAAACCAAACCAATGGGGAATGAGAGGAGAGTGTTGACAAGACTCTGCCTTGTTCTTGCTGTAGATACCTGGCAGAGGTGAGCTGTGGGGTTCCATTTTACTGTGAAGAATTGCTGAAAAACCTTAACCAGCACAAAGTCTTGCTTATCCAACAAGCAGACTCTGAGGAAAAGACAAACGTGACCTGGAACAACCTGTTCGGTAAGTGGCAGTGGCCTTTCAGTTATGAGGTCCTTTTGAGGAACGGTGATAAGGATGGCAGCTAGCCTGCAGCTGCTTCCCCCAGAGTCAGAGGACTTGCCCAAAGGCAAGAAATACTGGATATGATATCCTTGATTCTAAGAGAAGCCAACTCAGCCTAGGTGCAATGGGCTGGACTAAGGAATATTCCAAATCAGAGCTGAGGGACTTCAGTGTCACCTAGAAAAATGTTCAGTTTTCCAGAGGTAGAATTAGGAGCTCAAAATGAATGTCACCTAGGTTCCATCCTAAAGAGATGATTAAATGCAAGTGTTGATCTGAGTGGTAGTGAGCGCCTGTAATCCTGGAGGTTGGGAAGCAGGGCCTGGCATATCCCAGTTCAAAGCAAGCCTGCTCTACATAGCAAGCTTCAGGCCAGCCTGGGCTACATAATAAGGGGCTCTTGTCTTAAAAGAGAGAGGGCGAGAGGTGGGGGGAGAGAAGGGAGAGAAAGACAAGAAGAAAAAGCAAATAATGACACGAAGGAGGCCACTTGGAAGCTTTAGAAAAATAACTCCAGTATAGGGAGGAGGATGAGTAGGAGAGTGGGGTAAATATGCAAATTGGAAAGTAGAGCATTAAGGCTAGAGAGAGCAAGCTTTTTTGTTTTACTTCCTTGGTGTTTCTGGGCTGTCAGATTCTTCAGCTGCAAGTCTGAGACATATTAGACAAAAAGAAAATTGGAGAACTCTGCCACATGGCTCCTTGGGTCTCCAAATCCCTAGAGGTCTGACTTTTCTCCACCTTCAATGCCTTGTGTTTATCTGTTTTACTTATCATATACTTAGCAGGAGGAATGGGTGGCAGGGAACCATCTTTTCCATTTTCCAGGAAGTGAAAGTTCCTCCCCTC